GTAATATTACGCGCGCTGCACGATTCTGCAGTCTTTGAAGATTTTGACAGCACCCAACAGATAACTCTGTCCAAATGACATCGGTGTAGTCGAAAACTGGCAACACCAGTGAGTTGTATACGCTCTTCGACGCCTCTAGTGTTAAACAGGGACGTATTCGCGATAGTAAACCTAGCCGTTTGGCAAACTCGTTACATACTACTTCAGTATGTTCCTTTCATGTTATGTGTTCATCAAGCAGTACCCCTAAATAACTAAATTTTGGGACTCTTTCAATGTCATGACCATGAAGCTGGACATTAAAGCCTGAAGTCTTGTCAAGTCGTGGTTTTGTTCCAAAGAGCATAACTTTCGTCTTTGTTTGATTTAGAACAAGCCTATTATCAGCCATCCACTGTGTTACTCGGTTTAGATCGTTTTGTAAGATGTTCATAATTTCATTGGTATTAGGACCAGTGTAGAATATGATCGTGTCATCAGCGTACGTACTTATTGAGCAATTTATTAGGCATTCCGGTAGGTCGTTGATGTATAGGACAAACAGCAGAGCCCCAACACGGACCCTTGAGGAACATCATATTCTAAAACAAGGCTAGGGGATAGTTCGTTCGCATAGTTTACCTTCTGCGTTCGATTTGTGAGATAATTTTGAAGCCACTCTAAACTTCGACCTCTGATTCCATAGTGCTCTGCTTTATGAAGAAGACAGTCATGGTCAACGAGGTCGAATGCCTTCTTAAGATCTTTAAATATGGCACTGGTTAATTGCTGTTTGTCCATGTGTTCAAGTATATGATCGACAGGATAAATAACTGCAGTTTCAGTTGAGTGTTTTTTTCGAAAGCCAGATTGATACCTAGATAGCACGTTGTTTTCAGTGAGAAATACCACGAGCTGTACTTGCACTGAGCGTTCCATTATCTTAGAGATAAGAGCTTAAAAACAGGCGTGACTTTAGCTTCCTTCCATTCTGTTGGAATTTTTCCTGTCGACATTGTTAGATTATAATATATGCAATCGGCTCTGCAGTTATAATGGCCCCATCCTTTAACATTCTCGCTGGAATTCCGTCAAGACCAGTTGCTTTAGTTGGTTTTAGTTTCGAGAGTTCTTGACTTACAAAGATTACGTCTTGGACGAGGTGTCAGTTTATTTCCCCGTTAGTTTAATTGTGGTCTTGGGCGTGGAATCAGTTTTTTCTCCCTTGGTATGATGTCTGGGCGATGTATCAGTTTATTTCTCCGTTTGTATGACGTCTTGGGCGAGGAATCAGTTTAGCTTCCGTTGGTATGACGACTTTGGCGTGGTATTAGTTTAGTTCTCCGTTGATATGATATCTTGAGCTTAGTATCTGTTCATTTCCCGTTGTGGGCGTGGTAATGACGTATTAATTTGGTTGCTTGAACTTTTCCACTGTTTTCCCACTATTCCATTCCAGAATATTGTTAGTTTCAGAATAAGCAGGCCTTTTAGTGCAAAAAACAGTTTTTAGGTGCATAAATTTTTAAATGAGCATAAAACATTAAATATTCAAAGCCCTGCAACTTGGGTCTCTTGGTGTTGTAAATTACAGATGTTGACTGTGATTAGGAGAACCTATTCCAAATACATCCGTAATGTGTTGGCATTATTCGATCTCTATTCAAAACTAAAAAAAAGTAGTAAATGCACTTGTTTGTTTATAAATGTACTTTCGGTTTAAAATAGTAAATTAAAATAGCTGCGAACAGTGCGAAAGAACTCGCTTTGTAACATGTAAAATTTTCATAAAAATTGCTTTGTTTTAAAGTAGATATGAGCATTTTTATGAAGGCTGTGCAAACATTGTTAGAGTACTTTTGATCAGTACTGTATACGCCTTCAATATGCTTAGCTACTAATTCATCGTTTTCAAAGATTTTACGGTATCCTCCTAAGGGACTCATTTGCTGACTGTTCAGTTTTTACGCTTACGTATGACTTTGACATACTTAAGTGAGATTTTATTATAATTACAAAGTACTATAGTTCCAGTGATAAAAGGAAAAGACATCTTTAGACTTGCGCAGCGTAACTACCATGGCCCCCAAAGAAACTCCACTTTCTGTTTGGGCTGTTAATGAGCAATCGCGCCTCGCGATAGGCTCACTGTATACTATTGACAAGCAATTGCAGCCGCAACGCTTGCAACTGGAGTTCTGGCTATTGGAAAATCGTGGAAAATCGCCTTTTTCTCGCCTTTTCATTTTAGAACTTAAGGTTATGTTCCCAAATGACTGATAAATTAAATTGACATGCGAACTAGCAAGTTGTTATGCAAAGTAGCTACGTACCTTCTTCACATGTGATTCCATCTCCTGTATAACTGTGATCACAGGTACAATTGAACCACCCAACGGTGTTCATACACGTTGCTCGACGGTCACAGTTGTGAATCCCAAGCGTGCATTCTTCAATATCTTCAAAGGTGATAAAAGTGAATATTAGACGACAAAGTTTAATAATTTACTGTATAGCTATATATAGCAGCATGAACACCTTTATGATTGATTATACAGTATTTGAATAACTTTCGTAACATTTGTAGTACGCGCGTGTTGATTGGTTGAGAAGGGTGTTTCTATACAGTTTAGTATAAATTTCGAGGTGACTATTGATTTTTCTGCATTATGATTGGTCAAAATTCACTGTCTGTGAGTTGATAAATTTGGACCATGCAAACAGGCCCTAATGTAACGAGAATTTGTAGTTGAATCGATTTATAATATTTGAACAAAATCTCTTTATTGAGTTATATTATAAAAGAAGTAGAAAACATTTTTTCTGTGTTTATATACAGATATAGAAACAATTCTGAGATAACACTTTCCAAAAAACTTCTTTCGTAAAAAAGGTTGAATTAAAACTCGCCCTTCGTGCTTGTTTTCCCACTGATTATTTCTCGTTCTCCCAAACTCCCACGCTTGTCTCTATATAACTCTTATAAACAAGGAAAATGTTTTCTCTTTGTTAAATGTTTGTTATCTTCTTCAACAGTTTATACATGCTCAAGGCAAAAAAAACGTGTGCTTGTTCGGGGCGCATTTTTCTCGAGTTTTCAATTGTAGAACATTAGATTGTGCCTCTTTCCAAGCGACTGGTAAATTCACATGCGACCAAGCAAAGTTGTAATCAAAAGTATACGTACCTACACATACGATTCCATCTCCTGTATAACCTTGATCACAGGTACAATTGAACCACCCGCGGTGTTTATACACGTTGCTTGATGGTCACAGTTGTGAATCCCAAGCGTGCATTCTTCAATATCTTCAAAGGTGACAAAAGTGAATATTCGACGACAAAGTTGCTTTTCACAATTTAATGATTTACTGTATAGCTATATATAGTAGCATGAACACCTTTATGATTGATTATATTTGAATAACTTTCGTAACATTTGTAGTATACGCGCGTGTCAATTGGTCGAGAAGAGTGTTTCTACACAGTTTAGTATAAATTTCGAGGTCACTATTGATTTTCCTGCATTATGATTGGTCAAAATTCACTGAGTTGATAAAATTGGACCGTGCAAACAGGCCCTAATGTAATGAGAATTTGTAGTTGAATCGATTTATAATATTTGTACAAAATCTTTTTATTGAGTTTATTATAAAAGAAGTAGAAAATATTTTTTCTGTGTTTATATACAGATATAGAAACACTTGCGAGATACCACTTTCTAAAAAACTTCTTTCGAAAAAAGGTTGAATTAAAACTCGCCCTACGTGCTTGTTTTCCCACTGATTTATTTCTCGTTCTCCCAAACTCCCACGCTTGTTTTTATACAACCGTATAGAAAAACGTAGAATGTTTTCTCTTTATTAATTGTTTGTTATCTTCTTCAAGTTCGTTAGCTTGTTCGTGGCGCATTTTTCTCGAGTTTTCAATTTTAGCACATTAAATTGTGCCTCTTTCCAAGCGACTGGTAAATTCACATGCGACCTAGCAAAGTTGTAATGGAAAGTATACGTACCTACACATGCGATTCCATCTCCTGTATAACCTGGATAGCAGATACAATTGAACGACCCGGCGGTGTTTATACACGTTGCTCGATCGTCACAGTTGTGAATCCCAATCGTGCATTCGTCAACATCTTTGAAGGTGTTGAAGAAATTATATTAATAGACCGATTTCGACGCTTTCTGGTGCAGGTGCTATAGCACTTATTTATACTGCCGTAGGTCTGCTTGTTCTTTAGATTAAAAATAATTTCATTGACTTATACCTCTTATAATAGTTCACAGTCTATTATCATCTTCAACAGATTATATACTCCGGCCTTTGGGAAATGACAGTGCTCCGTTTTCGCCTAAGCGATTGACCCAAATCGTCCAACAGGTATTCTTACTCGTTTATTAACAAACAATTGTAATAATGCGATGGAAAAAACATATCGGACTACCGTCCTTGTCCGTGCCGTTAACAACAATAGCACTATAGGTGTGTCCATGCAGCTTATATAGCTACAATAAATATTACAGTTACGCACAATAATTAGTATGAACTAATGAATAAATAATACGCTATTTACTTCACTAATAATACTGTCGACAGTCACATGCATGCTTACTTGCTGCTTCACTCGCCTTTCGATTTTATAACATTAAATTTCCTAAAAAACTGTCGAATTCAGACCATATGCAAGTGTCTTTTAAACATACATTCATGAATCTTATTTATACCATGCATGCAATGATGCAAATAATCCAACGTTATTACGTCACATGAGTCTAATGTCAAAAGTAAGCAAGCTATAGACACTGGTAGCTAAAGTTAAAGCCAAACTTTACTTTTCTAATGATAATAAATAAAAATTGCAACCATTATCATTCATCTTGAGTCCATGCTTCATAGTATTTTCATTTTTACATGTTTACAATTTCATTTCAAAAATGCTTTGTATGACATTAAAGATTTGAGATAAGAATGTGTAAAGTGTTGCGTTATTGTATTATTGTATTGTATTAATTACAAAGCACTAATCAAGCAAAATTTATCATATATTCGCTACTCATATGTGCCTTTTGAAAAAATATAGTGAAACGAGTTCTTAAATCTAACATACCTGTTGTAGGCAGAGTTGTGGTGTTGATTTCAATATGTTGACTATTTGGTGTTGGGGGATGTGTTGCAGAAATGTCCCCAGGCGAGACTGTTGCATTGAATAGAGGTATAGCAACCGTGTTTCCTGATGTTTGAGATTTAGTTGTTCTTGAAACTCGAATGGAGTTAAATGCAGATGGAGGATCAGGTATTGCGACTGCAATAAACCAACGTAAGATATGTTTTAATATTTTTCATGCTAGGAAAATGTAATTTTACACCTAAAGCATTCCTAAAGTGTCTCTTTAACTATTTATAAGCATATACATTCAGGAAACTGTTTTACCCCATACAAATAATCTGAATTATCCAAAATCGAGAGATATTCAACATCTGTGGCCAGAAGATCAGGACAAAATTAACAGTCTATTTCCGCCTAAATTTGCATATGGTGTCAAATTATATCCTCGCAAGTTTATAGTAAACTGTACAATGCAAAATAGATTAGTGGGTCGGTTATAATTTGGTTTCATTGCTTTTTTCTGAACAAGTTACTCCAAACATCTTGAAGATATTTTTCAAAGTTTTTGGTCTGTATTCTTCCTGCTTTTCAAAACTAATGATTTATCACGTTGTAACAATAAACTAAAAATGCAGAGGTGACATATACCCATACAAGAAAAATATTTTACATTACCCATATAAATTGAAAATATTGAATGATTCTCTGAAATTTCGCGGAACTCACGGATGCGCAGTGTAATTTATAATGCAGCAATTGAAAGATATTTGAACAAATATGCAAATTATTTACGGCAAACTGTATGCTTAAATGAATCGATCTAATGTCATTATGTTAAGAGCAAGCAAGATATGGACCAGTTAATGAGCTGAACTCTATTAAATATTTTACTTTCTTGATGATCATGAATAACAAGTACGATCGTACTATAGGGACCAGGAACTGCGTAACCGAGTTTAATTTCTGAACTGCATTGTATTTATAACAATGGAGAGGACAATGTATTTCTAATCGTTTCCGTATAATTATTATTTGCTGCAAATATATCAACAATTGCTTGTAACTTGCTTCAAAGGTCAAAAGTAAAAATTCGAACTCCGTCAATCGATGCGGAATATTGCTTAGAATAATTGTGCCAAGTTTCATTCCGATCAAACAAGTAATGATAGAGCCTTAGGGTTTTTTTAAAGAGCGTCGCCTCCTAACAACAACAAGAAGAAGATTAGCAGCGGTTAGGGACCAGTCCCTGGTCCAAAAATTGCTCCATAATCATGCAAATCAAAAGATTGCCCAATTATCATGTATTTTTATTTTTGCATGTTTGCAATAAATGCTTTTTTGTCGCATATATATAAATGATTTGATAAATAGCAAATGTAATGTAAGCAATAATTTTCCTCGGATGAAAGTAGACCGTTTACTATCCGGCAACTGTGCATATGGTGGTACGGGTGATTATACTCCTCGTGTTTGATGAATAAATATCTGCTCAGTTTATAAATGGCCAAGGGGGTTAATTATATTTCATTTGCAACTCAAATGTACCTTATTGGTCGAAAATATAGGTCTAACGCGTTCTAACATACCTGTTGTAGGCAGTATTGAAAGATTTGGTGGTAACCAAGGTCTGGTTGTGGTGCTTATTTCTATATGTTGATTACTTGGCGTCACGGGAAGTGTTGGAAAAACACCGCCAGGCGAGACTGTTTGATTAAATCCGGGTGTAATAGTTGAACTTGAAACTCGAATGGAATGAATGGATGGAGATGGAAAATCTGTTAAAATAAGTCAAAATATGATACTTTTTTATGCTAGAAACAATAAGCTGTCTTATATAACACCTATAAAGTATTATGTGTCATTTGTATTTTGAAATCAACAATTATTCTTGCCCATCACGCAAACAATTGCAACGACCGTCGCTGCTGTTAAAATTCATTTGGGAAGTTTACCCCTGCTTATATATTCGAATTCCTTTTCCCACTGATTTATTTTGAAGGCACTTTTCAGTACAGTATACGAAGATGTAATTCCCTAGGATAGTAACCTAAGCCAAAACTGGCCCATGAATATGACTCCCATTACAATACTTTACTCGTTTGGGAAAACACTGACTCGATCCTGCATGTAATCTAAAAGCACACTCTTAATAAGCTTAATAGTGACTCCCTTGCTTTTATTCCACTCAAATAAGCTATGCATATGAGCTACATTTTTGGGGGCAGCCAAATTAAAATTATGAAAAAACGTATTTGGTAACATAGGCTTACAAATTTTATTTCACATAACACTACCTCCACTTAGTTTTTAAAACTACACCCGGACAGTGTTTTTAAATGAATGCCACTATCAGCAGTATGAAATGATATGGTAACCTTATTAAATAACATTGCCAACTGTATAGGTTTCTCTTAATTCAAGAATTAAAAAGTGTCTTTGATCCTTTATGGTGTAATAATGCACCGGATAGGGGAATGATGAAACTTCTGACATACGATAAGAGTTGTGTATTTCTTTTATACAACCTGCTCCAGATCATTCCTAACTAGTCACTTGCACAAGTATCTTTATCGTGGCAAACATCTCTATAATTTCCGTCCTTATCAGACACCCTGTGGCTGTGACGTATATACAATAATAAACGAGTTTGGCAGGATATTTACCTCAAAATTGGCTGAAATCTGTTTGATTACAAGCACTAACCAAAAGAAAGACCGATTTTACACAACTTAATTTTATTTGACAATCACTTTGCCAATGTACTTTGTCTGTGTGGAGGGTAGATGGTAATTCGCATAAGATTGAAGTTTCTTATGGCATAATTTATATCTATGCACGTAGACACTTTTTCACTGCTAACCCGTCGTGATTCTTTTATTGAGACTTCCGTTTTTGACGTAATGAATTAGAAATATGTAGCTTTAAAGTTATAGTCTGATGATGACTTTGAAATAGAATCGAAACCTTGCTGTATGATTTCGCACATGCCATGCAGTCTAGCGTTTGGTTTTAACGTATTCATTCATCAGTGTGACCATGCATACGTGTATATGCAAATTTTAACCAGGATGATCAAATCTAGTTAGACTGCCCCCTCCAGGTATAAATTTTGTCAGTAATTATATAAATCAGGTGGGGCTGTACATGGGAATCCGATCAGATCTTGGTAGTTAATAAAAATTACAAGATCGGGTTGCATTAATACATATTTTATACACACACAAAATTACGAACCTGCTGCTGATATATTATGCATGGGTGTAGCCGTAACACCATCCATTGAACCCAAAAATTTGGAACTTACAATATCGACTAATGATAGGAAAGAAATATCAGAAGTTGTTGTTTTCAATAAAGTCGGTGTTGGTGTGGATATCCTTTGTAAAACGCTCGTATTCATAGACTGACTTTTGGTATCGCACATTATCCCAAACATAACACAAAAACATACATATACTTTTGCCATTGTGGTGGTACTTGCCAGCTTCTTGGTTTATTCTCTCTTGACCAGGCGCTTTGTATTATATATACATTATCAACATCCGTTCGTGATAGATCCACCCGCGCGTTAATTACTAAAAAATAACAGGAAGTTCAAGTTTGAACCGTTATATAAATATAGAATTCCCAATGAATGTACACTAAAACATTGTTTTAGATTTACTTCGGCAATTGTTTTCAACGCCACACAATTTACTATAAACAATATACATAAACGAATGTCTTTACAGCGTTTAAAAATACGAATATGAAATTGTTAACCGCATTATTGTTTCTCATATATATATATATATATATATATTATAATATATATATATATATATATATATATATATATATAATTGTTCATACTTTTTATATGCATCCGTTCGACAGGACAACGCGGTGGCTAATTACACGCTGTGTACACAGCAGATTATTCTTTTCAAATTGATTGTTTTTACGGTCAGTGAATTGCCAAAGCTGCATGGCAACCGCACTATACAGTACGCAACTCGCAAGGAATGTGAATTCCTTACCCTTGATTCAGTATTTTTACATGCAAATCTAGCCGTAAAAATGGGTTTTCAGTTCAATTACACACACAACACGAATAATAATATATTCTTTTTTCGTCGTATTGCTGCAATGTCGCAGATTGACCCTGGAGTAGTTTGAATCATAATAATAAAGTCCACGACAACAGACGAAACAACTTTTCGTTTGAGAGATGAAAGTTCGTTTTCGGTATTTTTGAACTTTTGAAATGAATTGCAAGCTGTCTACATATCGTCAAAGAAGTTGAAAGAACGGTGAAAATGTGGCATTCGAAAGTGAAGGATTCACACCACCGCAATAACAAATAACGCTGTGACAGAACGCCGAGATCAATTTGGTTTTTACTTGCGACGAACGCTCTTTCAGTAGTATATTAGAGTAAATTAGACTGATAAGAGTTTTTTTTGGAAACTGCTGTTTTAGCTTACTAAACTGTTTTAGCCCGCAAACTAGCTTACGCAATCTTATTCCTTCCTGCTGCTTTCGAAGCGGCATCGACCTGCATTACAGGATTTTGATTAAGCAAATAGTCCTGTGCATAATTCGATACATGAACTAGAAAAATACGGAATAATTTTAGCGTATTGTCTCATCTTTCATGTATTAATCAGTGTATCTTGATCAACTCTCACTACACAATAACCCGTGAATAAACTAATATGAAAGTATTATCATTCAACTGAAACCCTTTTTCAGCCGATAACTTTAGCAAATATGGAATAAAAAGTTATTCTAAATAAAGAGTGTATGAAAAAAGGCATCAAAGCTTTTATTAAACCTGTGTATTAGGAATCAAATCTGACTCAGCTTCAGCAGTTATATGCAGGAAATCATATATAACATTATTATGATAATAATGTGCATATTTCTGATGCCTGCATGCAACGCTATTATATGATGATACTATTTTTATATCGTGATATAAAAGGAGAACCAAAACATATTCAAAAGTATATCAATACTCTTCGCTGGTGCTCACTTGTGCCAGCATGTATACAAATTTGGATACTTAAGCGCGTACCACGGTTTTTGGGCAAAGCGGGAAACGTTAAGTCAAGATAGATCAATTAATCTTTCCGTAATATGTAGAACTCAGTGATTTCAACATGCTACATTTTCAATATGAATTGATAAACTTTGATGAAAGACTTGTACAGTCACTGGACTAGACTCTTTACCAAATATACCTTTCATTGAGTGAAATTATTCAATTCTGATTAGTTTCGATCAGAATCAGATCAGATTCGTTTGGTTGATTGCATAATAGCCTAGTGCTTGAATGTTAGCATGTACTGATAAGCATTGATTTCCCTCATATTAATTCACACTTCGGTTTATGTCTGATAAACAGGGGCGACATTAGTTTTCAGCTAACTATATATATTATACATTAATTTTGATATATACACCTCAGTCTTTGCATTATCAGTATTTAAGACGCACAGATACGGAAGGGACTAGACTGAGTTCCGAAATATCAACTACTCGAACCGTCTTGACCTTGACTCGCAAACCAAAGGTCGCTGGTTCGATTCCCACCGTAGTCAAGCTAATTTTTCAGCTTGCCCGGTTGGTGAATCAGAGTAGAAACATCACATATATACATTTGATATATACACCTGAGTCTTTGCATTATCACTATCAATTTAAGACGCCCAGATATGGAAGGCACTAGACCGAGTTCCGAAATATCAGCTACTCGAACCGTCTTGACCTTGTACCTCAGTTGTATGTATATATATATATATATATATATATATATATATATATATATATATATATATATATATATATATATATATATATATATATATATTTATTATATGGCAAGCGCTTGTTTTGGTTAATTCTGCAATTTGATTGGCTGCTGACAGGTCCGGATTTCCCCGTATTGCCCGAGGGCAATACGCAATTCTTATTGCCCTGTGAAAACAAGGCAAAACTCACGGCAAAAACTGACTAAATTTAAACTGAAAAACAGATTAAATTCTTAAACGGAAAATAATGAATTTGAAATAAAAAAAATAAATTTCTATTTTACAAAATAGAGCGTTTTTTTTTCACTTTAGGCCGATGTTTTGGTGTCGTGTGCACGGATGAGATTGATCATTAAAATTACAATGTCTGCATGAATTATGCCATATAATAAAAAACTTACTAACTTCGACTGTTCGGTCTGTACGGTAAAATATCAAACCTCGGTCTTGGTGTATTGACCTCGCTATCGCTCGGTCAATACAGCACGACCTCGGTTTGATATTTTACCGTACAGACCTCACTCTCAGTCAGTAAGTTCTTAATATACACCCATTTGCAAAAACGTTGGCCGCAGATAGATAGATAGATAGATACTCGAAATCTAATTAGAATTGCATATGTTGTGTAATATGATTGAAATCCCATGCAAACTTAGCCATATGCATTTCTAATTAGACTTCGAGTATATCAATCTATCTGCGGCCAACGTTTTTGCAAATGGGTGTATATATATATATATATATATATATTATATATATATAATATATATTATAATATTTATATATATATTATATATATATATAATTAACAATTAGTCGCCGAAGGCGAGGTGAGATAGATATAGATATAGATATAACTCAGATATAGATATAACGTCATGGCGGATGGACACAGTGTTCATAACTCCGAGTCTACAAATAAAAATCTCATTGATGCCTTTGATTTCCTCAATATAAATAAGTATATAACATCGGATAGCATTTCTTACGATGGTAAGCGAATTAAATGGCAGGATAGCTACGAATCCTTGCAAGATTTTGTGGCGAATGCCTTCGGTCAACAAGGCAAGTGGCGGCGGTCAGGAGGCGTTTCAAAGTGTT